TAATATTTGAAGCAGAACTTTAGTGGCACCTTAAGATTCTTGCATGAGAACATACGTGTTCTGGCACGTGTGTATTAATCCGTGATGCCGATTAATTATTTTTTTTAATCGATTAATTGGGAACGCGGTCTATTATTTAATCGATTAATAATCGATTAAAAATAAATGCCTATGACGTCTACGTTAATAAGAGTTAGGGGGTTTAAATGGTGTGTACTTTATACTTGCCTATTACAGCATGCGCTGCAATACTCATATTTTTGATTTTGATAAAGTTTATGCATTTTGGGAAAAAAATAATCAAAAACTAAAAAATTATTCGATGAAAGGTTTGGCCGAATAATCGGACAATTAATCAATTAAACGTTACACTCTACTAAGTTGTATTCAAGTGTGCATGTATGTGAATGTGAACGTACACTTCTGCCCATACATACAAGCACACATATACAAATACACTTACAGTTACATATACACATTTTTATAGTAACATATTTGAAATAGATTTTTACTATAAGATATAATACTGTAATATATACCGTTATTACTTGAAATCACAGTAACAGGCACGTCCCTTGGTCGTTTACGTACAATTTGCTTGCTCGTGCTTGGCTGTTCCTCTTTCATGTCTTCCATGTGATGCACATCTGCAGCTGAAGTTATGCTAGTCATGCTGGTTTCTGGTGTAGAAGTCTGCAATGGTTCGAATGTGTTGTCTGGTGTGCCGGGTATTATAGATAACGCTATTGCCAAGCTTCTGATAGCATTTAAAGCATAGACTATTGCACTGGGATTTAAATATTGCACAATTTCATCATCATCGATATCTGTTCCATCATCCATTTTGAACGAAGCGATATCAAAACCAAGCTTTTGGGCAGCTACATAGAAATTTTACATAGCCTAATAATAAAAAGTGAAATGAACAAGATTAAAGTTACAGATATCGGATTCATATTTGTCGTTTGATTTTACACAGCAGGTTATACAACTCGTACGATATGAACTGATCTTAGTGAATTAACAAAAACAAAAATGAATACATCATATAAAGCCGATAACAATGCATAATAAAATTTGAAGATGAAATGCTTATTTAGAGATGCTAGTTACAACTGCATGACGAGGAGCAACGAATAAATACTTCGATCTCGTGCCAGAAACAGTATGCAAAGCTAATGGATAATAGTCCTACAGTTCATCATACTCTAGTCTACACTTTTTCCACAGTCATCATCTTCAACTGCAAAAGCATGATAATGACTATCATAATAATGAGTGTGCAGTTTTTGGCAAACAAAATAAATGCCACCATCAGTTAAAATAAACTCATCAATAAGTATAAATTTGAGACACTCATCCATTTGTCTACCAACAACTAAAACATGTCCACTGAAATAATCCGTACCATTAATCATTGTATGTCTACAAACATAAACTTCATCTAACATGTCAATGCACAGTTTGTCACATACAGCAGATGCTGCCTTTAATACTCGCACAAAAAATAGTTCTCCAGCACCACTATTTACATCCCTGCCACCGAATTTTTTTTCAAAATACCAAGTCAACACTGATGAATTTGTTGTTTAAGAGCTACAGTTTTACACACATTTTTGGAACTTGTAGCTGATTTTTTCAACTGATGATGTTTGGCCTCAAACCGCGTACACCAATATTGACATGCTGGACCAGACTTTTGAAGACAAGCAGGATAATGAACTAAATTATGAAATTTAGGTGTCAATCGTTTTGTTGGAAATAACTGCCTGTACATTGTGTGGTGATCAAATATAAGTTGATCTAAAAATGAAATCATGCCATGCTATATCTTAGGACACAAAATAATGTCTATAATCTATATTAAAAGAGTGAACAACCGCTAATATATATTTTCACAGTCTATATGATCTCCAAGTATTAAACCAATAAGTCTACTTAAACACAGATATTGAGCAGCACGCTGACCCAGAAGATTATCACCTGACTTCAATTTTTCTAAAGTTATACAAGACGGCTTATCTCTTTTCATGTGTGGCATAAAGAAATGCTTTCAGTCGAGAATTGAGCTGATTACATGTAAAAATTTTATCGACAATAATAAGCTGGTATAAAACTGATTTTAACTCATTAAGAAAAACGCCTTTAAATATATCGTGCATACTATCCACACAATATTTGTCAGTAACTTTAAAATAATGCAAATCATTAAAGAGTGACTGTCGCTTTACACCAGTATTTCTTGTGTTGTCATGAAAAAAACAGCCTTGCCCGTGTTTTTCATGCTGTTCAGCAGTTCTTGGTTTAAAATCTCTGGCGCGGTGGTGATCTTGAATGCTTTCAACAGTTGCGTAACACAATCGACATATACAACTAAAAGAAAAACTCTCTTGGAAGCTTAACATTCCATGAGCACCAATATTGTATTTCTAATGCTTTAATACCCTTAATCATTTCTTCAAGAACTGGTTCATATCCACGCGTAGTTTTTGTATCTTCT